TAATAGTCTTAATTAATTTTTTTTTTAATAAGTACACCAGCTAAACAGCGTTATAAAAAAGTTCGAAATATATTCCACTTTTTAGCAGCCGCGCAAACAGGCATTCCAAGTTTAACGTTGCAAACAGCAGCTTTCGCACGCTTTTTCAAACCTAATTATAACATCGCAAAAAAAAAAAAAAAAAAAACGAATACAGTAATATAAAAAAAAAAGTTGTAAAAAAAAAAGTAGTAAAAAAATTGCAAAAACTTTATAAAAGTATGTTATAAAAAAATTAGGTGGTTAAAGTAGCCCGTGGCCGCACAGCCCGTAGCTAGTGCGGTTTTCTTACTTGTATTAAGGAAGCGTAAACGTTTTCGGCTAGCTTTTAGTACGTAGCTAATACTAACAAAAAAGCGGAAAATTCGGAATAAAAAAGCTTCAAAAGCTAACTTAAAATTGATTAACTAGTTATTAAAAAAAATAACACAGTAATAAAACAAATATATAAAGCAGTGCGAGTTTAAAAACAATGCAAAATATTGCAGTGTAAAATAAGCAACCCGATTTCGCAGCGTAGTATAATCGAGTCAAGTGTACTTCTAAATTATAATAGTATAAAAAAAAGGTTGTGTGGTAGGTTTAAACCCTGTAAAAAAAATGCTTAGTAGTGCCAAACAAGTTGTCACTAAAATAGAAACTTTTGCTAGCAAAGCTCCATTTCAATACGATATAAATAAAAGTGCTACAGCACTTTTATTTATAAAAAATTAAGCAGGCTGCAAACACTTGAAGTAACAAAACTTCCTGGGACCCCTTCGCCCTCTATTCCTCGCCTTCCACTCCTATCCCGAAGCTTTCAAGAGCTTCAACACGCTGTAAATCGCCGTCCAAAAGCTCGAGTGCACAAGCTACGAACTCTATATAAGAGATCGCAGTCACACCTGGATACACATCGAAATCTCTATAAGCAAACCTTATCCATGTACAACAAACTACATTGGCATCGAGAGTATCTATAAAGATGTGAATAGTATTCCTCTCTCCCACGTGGCGTTCTACCAACATAAAATCCACCAAATTCTATAATATCCAACTCCATTCCCCAAGATAGCAACACGGTCCCTTCTTTCGTACATTTTGATCAATGATATTCCTATACTAATCAATATGGAAGTAGATGGCGAAATAGTTAAGGTAGATTGATCGTATATTGGCTGCCCTGAGTGTCGTCTAAGCGGTCACCAGAAGGGGCGCGTTACTCCCAGAGTAAACCTAGGTCCACCCGAAACTATTCACGATCCACAAAATACCGATGCCTAGGTAATTGATGAAGGCTGATCATCGATGTACTCGCTAGGAGCCTGTGGGGCGCGCTGCCTTCCGTCTGCCTGGCTACCATCTGAACTGAGGCGAGCAGGGGGAAGGGACAGGTCTCCATGGATGGAATGATGTGGCAATGGGCTTAGCTCGACGGGAGGAGTGTGGGTAGAAGTAGCACGTCGGAACTCCCTGCTTGAGTTTTCTTCATCTGGGCCTGAGGAGGTCAGTACAAGGTTTATCATCGTGGCACCACGCATAATCACCTTGACTATGATGTTGGCTAGAGCTACCGAGGCGAAATGAGGTGAATATCATGAAGATGAATTGAAACGTGGAGACCGTGAGTTGCAGTATAGCAATTAGGGTCGTAGAGAGAGGCTGGTGAGACATAGTGACCAAATTTAGGGAGCCAAATTTATATCAATGGCAAATTACAGATAGCTGGGTGTGAGGAAAAGCCAGGACTAATTCTCAAAACGCGGTCTAACTCGAACCTTATTTATATCCATTTAGCAATTGTGACCGCTATCCGTCGTACGTCAGTACGAATATTCTAATTGCGGTGATTGCGGCAGGGATATCAAGCATAGCCACATCTAAACGTGCTGACTACATGCACTTCTGAACATTGACACCGGCCTGCAGGTTGCTGTCGCAATGATCGCGATTAAAAATTAAACCAGAGACCAACCACAGCATCTCTCCCAGCTGACAGAATTGGCGCTCATGAGCGCCTCATGTCCATGCAGGCAGGTTCATGTAGAAAGGATAAGAAGAAGGTTAGAGTGTAGCTACGCTTTATACTGTCATTAATCGCTAATTCAGAATAGTGCATCCGTCAACTGGGGCAAAACTGTGATCTCTGCATAGAGAAATGTCGCCCGTGTTCCAATCCCGAGACCGCCAAAGAAGGGAGAAGAAGAGTAGTCAACCTGAACCCAGTCCACATCTATCTCCTTGCAAGCCAAGTGTAATAAACGAGAACCCATGGTTTCAAGACTGGTAATTTTTGACAACCCTCTGACTCTTGAGGCGACTAACAAATAAAGCATGCTTCTTTTGAGTTGGGCCCGCATGCTCTCCTGCATTCAACCAGTTGTGAATGATATCGACTCCAGAGCGCGAGCAGGAAACCGTGCTCTCTTTGTTAACAAAGCGATACCCAAGATTGTAACCGAATTCAAAGACGTTTTAGATCCCATTATTAATTTGTTGTACGATTTGATAGGAGAACTTCGCCACAATTGGAAAATGTCTGGACGTGCGGCACTCTCCCTAGCTTTACAGGCTCGGATACGAACACAGCCGGTCCGCAACTTGGATGAACTCCTTATTGAACTCTATACTTTGGATAAATTCCTTATTCCGTCCCATGAGAGAGATGAAGAAGGCCAGAGCCTGTGCGATACTGAGTACAGTCTCACCAATATTGAACAAACAGCTAAATTTATACATACGCCAGCGTATGATTGGTCAGAGCATAGGTACGACGAAGGTGTAGACCAAGTCGCAGCAAGATACCTCCGCTCCATAGAATCTTTGTGTGAAAAAGTCTCGGACATGGGCCGGAGACGTGGACTTTCATCTGTACTTTTATCTGGACTTCGGGCACCATTTGCACACGACCTTTGGTATCAGCGAGAACCAAACCCGGACATATTCTTACGCAGCCTATTGAGAATGGATATAAAGTCCATTTTGCAAAAGGATAGCTTAGGGCGAACCTCCCTCCACTTCGCAGTCGAGAACATGTTTACCTGCCAAGTTTCCCCCTTTACGGATCTAGATGCTGCAGACGATTTCGGGCGAACCGCACTACACATTGCATGCGCCTATAGCAAAGGGGATCGCGACACGCAATTAAACTGGATTGAGAGATTATCACAACTTGATACAAGAATCGACCTTCGTGATGCCTACGGGTTACTTGCAATCGATTACGCAATCATCGATCAGAGGCAGGACATCGTACAGGTCTTTCAAACATTCAGAAATCTCAATATCGACGGGATGCTTCCAGCAATGAAACTAGCTGAAAAGTATATGAGGCAAGCTCTGGATGCATCGAGTGTAGCCTGCCGACGTCCGGGTACAGAGATAGAGGAATAACCATCATATTTTCTCGCATTGTTCTCATCTCGATGTTTGGGAGTTTGATTTACTGGGATCATTCGATAAGCACGAAGCGAGGGTAGAATTGAATCTAGTTACCCGATTGTGCAGCATTTATCTATGTCTCGGGCGTGAATGTATTTTCTGTGATATGACTCCTTTTCACTGGTATAGTCGTATTCTCTGTTAAGTGATTGTATTCAATGCTCCCAATAAGCATAGGTAGGTACCTAGGTAGTCTCTCTTACAACTATCCTGCCCCTCCCACGCTGCTAGGTACCAAGTTACTTAAACAAGGAAACCGACCATTTATTGTGCACTTTGAAGCTGCTCCCTCAAACTTCAACCGCTGGCCAGTTTTACCTCTAGCCACGCAACTACCCATCTTGTAAGCTTCGCATTCTCTATAGAGTAGTAGCTCTACTTCTCCTTCAAGCTATCTAAACTCATCAGGTTGTCTCGACGACCAATACGCGCATCGCCAGTCACACATGCCAAGAAGCTTGCGGAACTGATATCAAGATGTCTAATACACAACAACAACCCGGCGGCCGAGCCGAAGGCGCAGACACAAGTAGGTAAACATACATACTATTTCATCCCTACTTTACCCTCGCTCGATCTTATATCCAACTAACGAATCGCCGAACCGCAGCTTCGGCAGCAGCCATGTCCACTATCACAACTATCACTACTACTACCACCACAACCACTACCACCGCTACCGGCCCGGCAACAACTACTACCACGACTCAAACTACAACCATTACCTCGACTCCAGCCCTGCCCCCAACCATTAGCCACCCTGCATCTAGCCCACCTGCATCTAGCCCACCTGCATCTAGCGGCGGTGGCATGGTGCGCCAGAAACGAAAGGGAATCTCCTGTGAGAGTGGCTCAGCCGTTACGGCTAAGTACTGGTAACCTAGAGACCTGGTATCAAGGCACATGCGCTCACCGCGCTCCTCGATGAGTAACATCAACGCAGCCAAACTGCTACCCACCTGAGTCACTTGCTAGCTATCATCGAACACAGGAACCTGAATCAAGCCACGAATGTGGGAAATAGGGCTAGAAAGAGTGGGATAGCGCAATAGGCGAATAATTCACTTTGATTCGCAAAACTAGCTTTCAGCATCCTGGGAGAGACATTGTGCGAACATGTAAGCGGCGGCACGTATCATCAGTGTCCCTTCCCTTCCCGTACTTACGCGACGCGAACAATCAAGGCACTACACTGTAGACTTTCACGCGTAGGATTCATATCCCATCCAGAGCCTGTAGACCGGGAGTTGTTCCATATACACATGAACCCCACGTGCTTTGAGCCGCGTGGGTGTAGGGGTGTAGTGGTGTAGAGATGCTTGGCTGAGCACCTTCTACGTCACAAAGCCTTGGCGCGTGAACATCTTCCTATAGTACCCTTGTTACTCGAGAGTGCATTATAATCTTAATCAATTAATGTATGTATATTTCTTGATATTATACAATATAGTATGTAAATTAACGTCGTATCATAAGAGGATTGCAAAATAGAAGTAGATGTCGGATTACAGATGATAGAAAAAGGAAAAAAAAAAAATCAACTCCGAATCGGGGAATCGAACCCTGGGCTTGACGGCACTTTTCTGCATCCAGAGGAAAGAGATGAGAGCGTCAAATGTTGGCCACTACACCAATTCGGATTGATGGGAGTTCAGAGCACTAATTGAACTCTAAGTGCGGCCTCAGACAAATTCGGCTTTCATTTTCTCAAACTCTGCCTCGAAGCATCCCAAAAATGTGCAGTAGATTGATTACGCTAATTCTATCTCCCTGAGAGAACCCCGAATCATTAAACTGCGCAAGCGCCCCATTCTACCCTTTCACACAGGTAAACTTCCTGACAGGGAGTCGCGCCCATCCATGCCTACCATTCTTCCAGCCACAAGCCTTGAATCTACGCGGTCGGATGATGAGGCGATTCGAAACGGCAACGGCCGATGAGCTCGGAGTCGGTTAAAAATAAGGCGCAAAGGATATCAAAACAGCTCGACATCGAATGACAAAACTCCACGCTAGAGGGCCCGTGTAAAAAATCGCATATACCCATACTTCTATTTCGCTCGACGGGAAACCAAACACACACAAGGCGGTGTTCATATCCGATCTATCGGTTCCACGGGTTTCATATCAGCTGAAATCTGCTCTTCTTGGCGCCTGAACGCACCGGTTGTCTGGCCCCCTCTCAGCGAATGCTCCAACTTATCGAGCGAGCTTCGAGCGGGGTTCTGTGAGGCAAAGCCTGTGTCATTATGGCCGTCGTGGCGTTGGTATTGGTCGCGTTGCTGTTCCTGCTGTGGAGTGTGATGCGCAGTCTGGGGTTGGCGGACGCTCGACGAGGGGACTGCGAAGCCGTAGTCTTCGAGCTCTTGGTTGTTCTTGGGCCACTCCTGCTCGTCCTTGCGCTTCCTGCGGAGGTGGAAAAATGTCAATACAGCGACTGTACCCAAAACAACGATTCCGCTATGCCCCTTGTGTTAGCTTAAAGTGCCGCCTTGCGCGGACAAGCGTGGAATCCGCAAATTCTCTTACACAATGACACCGATGGTTATAGGGGTGGACTTGTCGGAACTTGCGGGCTTTTCGCAGAGGTCGATATCGGGTCGGGGATGGCATTTGGCGTCGTCCCGACTAATTAAATGCCTGGCTATCCTGCCAAACCTTATGGCGGCCGCGGTGTAATCCATGGCGATGCGGGTTAATGCATGCAATGTCTGTCGGTTGGTAACTTTGTTCGACGACAATCTAGAATGCTAGCGAAAGGATGCGGTCGTATCTTATCGTAGTGTTGGTATTTGTTGCTCTAATTATTTCGGACTATCCAGCGTCTATCAGGTGCCTTTACGGTCGTATTCTGAGGTAGCGAACGTTGCTATCGTCGATAAAAAAAGGGTTAGATGTAGTATACCAGTCGAAGTGTGGTATAAGGATGGTACCACGGAAGACAAGACACTGTGTGATTGGGACAAGAGCTGAGCTGAGCTAGTTGACTCAAAACATGGAAGGAAGGAATGTATGAAGTGAGTAGTTGAATGAGTGAATGAATGGAAGTAATGCAATGATTTGATCGTCCTCGTGTCTTACTACAACAGGGAAGAGGATATAGTCTAAGTGAAAGTGACAAGGAACAGAGATGGAGAGAAGAGAGAAAGGGATGAATTGGAATGAGGTCAGATAGCAGTCATATTGCCGTACTAGGTAGTGTACTATGTACCTAACGTAGTGTTACCGCTGTCCGATCACAGTATGCGCCATGACAGCACAGCAGCTGTAACGCCGCCTACATACAAGTAGTACCTACCGTATAGTACCTGTGTACATACTAGCACTAGTAGTACACTACATGACAGATACGATATCATCCCTACAGAAGATCCCCTAGTAGGAAGGCTATAGCACAGTAAGCCCTTTGATTGGTCGATATGGATACACGTACCCTGTTCGTTCGAGTTTGCTTGTTTTGGAACTGCTCCCAGTGATCCTGGCTGTGATCCTAGCTCGCTCCGTTGGTGTATCATCGCTACCAAGTTGTGACACGTGCTATACTGACACTGATATGTGGGTTAGGTACTTACAGTAGACACCACGCGTCGTCTTGTATCATGTTATGCATTGAATCAGGATCCAACGATTCGTTTTGTCTGTGCAGCAGTCTCTTTTTTTTTTTTTTTCTCTCTTTCCTTGTAATATGTTGGTGAGTTGCTTCCTTTCGTTTGTATAATTTTAGAAGACGAGCTCGGCTAATCCCTGATCCTCTCTACATAGTAGTAGTGTACCTATCTATCTTAGGTTAGTACATAACTTCCTCTTAGGTTCGATGTGGCGTTAACGTGGCACAGGCCCTATAATTACCTCACAAAACGGAAGGGCCGGAACATGATGTGAAAAATGGTTGCTCACCCGTTTACACTATTGCAAGGAAAGACACTATTTAGCAATCAAGTCTTGTACATAATATAGTAGGTAAGAAACTAGAAAAAAAACAACCAGAAAACCCTCAAATTTCGGTATTCTGCTTGTTCCGCCGACTAGCCTGCTAAGGGTACTGTTAGACCCGAGCTCTTAAAACCTGGGGTGAAGAGACAGTGCATTGAACCATACCTTGCGTAAAGAAGTATAATTACTAACACTGTGTATTCTGGTATACCCTCTCATTCCATCTCGTGCACAAGACTCCATCATATCTACGCCATACGCACCATTGATATGAGAATTGAAATGAACCACATTCTTCGACATATTCTAGCCCATATGCCCGAGTTTTCCGGGACCGCATCTCGATCTTGTGTCTGGGTTGACGTAACATTAATTTCTAGTCTACCACCGTAGAAGCTTTCCTCTCTCACACCATGAGCCCAACGGCAACATTCCGCGCGGGGCACGCTTCAACAGAGTTCTGCTTGATTGGTCTCGTGACACACATTCCCCAGACAAAGAGCATAAAAGAGCAACAAAAAGACCGGGCGGGTTCACTTAGTTTATAACGGGTGTAAGCCGGCCGTTGACGCCGGCTTTGGGGGTTCGGCGAGCCTTTCCGCTAGTAACCGTCGCTTTCTTGGAGGCCGTCCGGCTTCCTGATTGGGGAGTATCAGCGTCATCTCGAGCCACTCAGAGCGCTGTGAAATGGTTTTACTGAAGTCATCTCTTGGCCCGCGACAAACCGAGGCCCGAAGCTCACTTGACTTATCTAGGTCGCTTTGAAATGCCAAATATGTAGGTTAAGTAGGTAGAGGCGCCCCGTCTACTGTTTGCTGCTGTCGCACATGGGTTGCGCTGACGGTGGACTTTTTTTTTACTGTTGGTGCTGTTCATGACGATTCCCTGAGCTGTTCTGCACGTCTGGGGTTATATGAAAACCCTCTTGTTGGTTGTAAAAAAAAGCCGTTAAGGCATAACGAGGTCGGAACTACGGTTTGGTCTTGTTTCAATTCGTGATTCCGAGACACCGGGGTACGAAACAGACATGATGGCGTTCGCTCACATTGGTTACCTTCTACCCGGTGCCGTCGCATTGGTTCTCATTTACGTACGTTAAACATAATACCGGAATAACACATCCACTATACGTGTTAGCAATTGACTAACAGGCAACTCAAGGGTATTGGATTAGTCGTATATCGAATCTTCTTCCACCCATTGGCCAAGTACCCGGGTCCTTTTCTAGCCAAGATCACGGATGCCTATCAACTCTACCACGCCTGGAAGGGAGACCGTCACCTTGAATTTTGGCGTAATCACGAGCGATATGGTGTGTTCTTATCTTGTCGCATAGATGATACGCGTGGGATGGGAGTAGGGGTAATACTGACTGGTATCATTCAGGTAAAATCGTACGGTTTGGGCCCAACAGCCTTTCTTTCAACTCCAATGGCGCTCTAAAGGATATTTACGGCTTCAAGGCCAATGTGCGCAAGGCCGCCTTCTATGATGCCTTTGCCCATCCTGTTCCAAACACTCATAACACCCGCGATAAGAATGTGCACGCCCGCAAGCGCCGCGTTCTGTCGCAGGCCTTCTCGGATTCGGCTATGAAAGAAATGGAGCGCTATATCCTAGCGAACGTACGGTCCTTTTGCGAGCAAATCGGCCTGGGCGCCAGCGATGATCGGAAAGGCTGGACAGTCCCTAAGAACATGGCTGACTGGTGCAACTACCTAGCCATGGACATCCTCGGCGATTTATCCTTCGGCAAGGCCTTCCATATGCTCGAGCAGCCGGATAACCGCTATGCTCTGGAACTAGTGTCACTTGCCACTACTCGGCATCTGATTGTGGGTTGTCGTGCACCGTAATACATCGGAGTTTGAAACACTAACAGGACACAACGAAACAGTGTGGAACCATGCGTCTTGTCGAGAAACTGAGTCTGGATAAAGTTCTGTTCCGAAAGATCGCTACGGGCCGGGCCAAGTACATGGCCTACAGCAAAGCGCAGCTCACGGAACGCACCAAACTCGGCGACGACACGGACCGCCGTGACTTCTTCTACCACCTGCTAAAGGCCCGCGACCCGGAAACGGGCCAGGGCTTTGCGATGCCCGAACTTTGGGGGGAATCTAACTTGCTGTGAGTCCATCTTCAATTCGCATCGATTATGAGTTATATTGATGTGGATTTTTTTTTAGGATTATCGCCGGGTCTGACACAACTTCGACCGCTATGGCTGCTACCTTGTTTTATCTCGTCCGCAACCCGCACGCCCTCCAGAAAGCGAGCGAAGAGGTGCGCGCTCAGTTTAGCGATGTCGAGGAGATCACACAGGGCTCGCAGCTCAACGCATGCCACTATCTCCGGGCCTGCATCGACGAAGCCATGCGCATGTCCCCCTCGGTCGGCGGCATCGCGCCGCGCGAGGTGCTTCCCGGTGGCATAACCATCGACGGCGAATTCGTGCCCGAGGGCGTCGTCGTCGGCACGCCGCACTACACCATCCACCACAACGCATCCTACTACCCGCAACCCTTCACGTACGTCCCCGAGCGGTGGATAGCGGGCTCATCGGCGTCGTCGAAAATGTCCGGCGGCCCCATCACCGACCGCGACGTGGCATTGGCACAGAGCGCCTTCTGTCCCTTCTCCATCGGTCCCCGGGGCTGCATCGGTAAAGGGCTAGCGTATATCGAGCTCATGACCACGCTCGCGA